AGACCTTTGACCCTCAGACAGACATCACTGACAGGCAGAGTTTCCGACCTCCAGAGAATATCTAGGTAGATAAGAGTGATCACCTTCATATTGACTTTCAGAGTAGATATTATATGTCATATGTTACTGGAGTCCACTCAGAAAGTCTAATAAGAAAGAAATAACTCAGGGCATTTATCCCATTAAAACATGTTATCTCAGTCGGCTAACATTAGCTAATCCTTCATTTATCCCACAATCAGAGGTGTCAACTAACAAAGTACAAATACTTCGTTACCGTACTTAAGTACACTTTTTAGGTATCTATACTTTACTCCATTACTTATTTTTCCTCCTACTTCTGACTTCTACACATTACATTTTCACACAAGTATCTGTACTTTCTATTCCTTACATTTTTAAAACAAACGTTACTCGTTACTCTTGGCTCTGGTTTAATGCAGAGGTCACGGAGGTCGGGTGTTATGCCGAATAGTGCATCCCTGCTGAGATATACATCTCCAGTCACTGGAGCGCGCCTCGCTCTGTGCAACTGCATATCAGCGAGGAAAACGGATTAAAATATGACCAATGGAGCTACTTGTTGTAAATTTATGATATAAAAACGTTTAAATATTCCTCTCATGGGAAAAAAAATGTTGGTTATTTGGCAAATTCATTTACAAAAGCACGGGTGTTATGAACAACATTAAATCCAAAGATTTTGTCCGAGGTACGGCTGATTTATTTGTTCTAGGCTCTTGTTATTCACACACAACAATAAACGGTGATGCCGACGTGAGTTTGGAAACTGCAAAGCTTTGTCTTAAGCGGAAAATCAAACCCGCATCTACACAGCACAGCGTTCACAGACCAGTGATGCATTCGCGAGCGTCAGACAGCTGTGGTGCATTCAGGAGCATGGGACATTTCATACTTACAAGGAAAGAGACATAAACAGAACGTAACTCATACAACAATGTATTTACTCAGAAACATTGTGGGCTTTCTTAAAATATTGAATGCTCTATAATTGTATTTCTGTTATTCTTTTGATTATGCACATGTGCTAGCTTTTTATTCCAAAAAATCTATAATATTACAGCAGAAAATTATCAAAGTTTTTCAAAAGCCAGTTTAAAAGCTCCAAATGAGGCTTCAGATCAGACAGCGACAATTACGCTGTCATTGTTTTACAAGCAGAATTAGCATTTGATGAGCCTTGTCCTTTAACTACTGATGGATATACAGGAATAGAGTTGAATGCAATAGCACAGAATGCAATTTATGGCAATTTCTATATATATTTTTTTTCAATTAAAAAATTCAGTGTATAACATGGATGCATAAATACCTCATTTTATTTCAGTGTTAATTTCTGTTTAAAGTAACAGATCTTTAAAAATGTCTCCGGACCTTTACAGGTTGATGATTTTCTCTATTCGTACCCGCTGATTTTTAATTGGTTACCCCTGATTTAATGTTTCTAAAT